CTGTGTTCCTCCCTCTGAGTGAGAGACCATGTTTCGCACCCATACAAAACAACAGGCAAAATTATTGTTTTGTATACTTTAATTTTCAGGTTCTTAGAAATCAGACGGGAAGACAAAATATTTTGAACTGGAATTTAATCTCCTCCTAACTTCCTCATGAGTGTCATTTTGATTTGTTATTTTGTTGTTCAAGGAAAGAATATGACGTTCCAGGAATTAAAATGAGAAGCCGAGAATAGGGACAACTGGAGAGCTCTTTTTGGGCAGAGCAATGGACCTGTCGTAAGACAGAACACTGAATAATAATAATAATAATAATAATTGTTGTTCCCAAATATTTGAACTTTGTAACCCTTTCAAAGGATTTATTAGCCACCCTAAAATAATTTTGCCCGCCTGTCTTCTGATGACGAGATACTAACATGTACTTAGTTTTTTCTGAATTTACTTCTAGCCCCACTTGTCTATTACTTTTTGTTAAAGTTGAAATTTCTGACTTAAATATGATTGTCTCTGTGTATAAGACTTATATATGAAATATATAACAATTTACTGTCAATCTTGAACCAAATTAAACCAAGACGTTCGGTTAAGAAATGATGTATTCCTATATATAATCCTTTGAACACAACGACCAAGAAGACATTTCTCGTTTCTTTATTCTGTGTTCGGAAGAACTTGATGGATCTAATCCACTATTTGCTTACAATCCAAATCAATATCTTTCAATCGAACGTCACACGAATGGCTTTGTTTTAAGTCGGTTCCAGATTTAAAGCTCGAAAGAAGGTTGAATATCTTCGAGATTTTACTTGCTTTTAATTTCTCTTGGGAGGAACTCTCAAATGTCATGTCTGCTTTCAGTATGTAAATTATGCGGCTAAAAATTGTTAAACAACGTAACACAAGTTTATAAATGCTAGGTATAACCGCATCACCAATCTCACGCTTTAGGTAGATTAATTTCACGTATATATTTTTTTAATTTTCTGTAATTACTTCTAAAAAGAACAGGTCACCAAAAGTCTTAAGTATACAACAGGTACATTTATCTGCAACCACAAGATTTTTTAAACTCTTTTTTCGTTTCAGAGGCACAGGAAATGTTTTAAAAGTTACAAAAACTTTTGTGAAGATTAAAGTTACATGACGCTGAATAAATGTAACAAGTAAAATGGATATATTTTTTTTTCCCTTAATACGATATTTCAGTCCCTTGGGCATGCGCGCTGAGAGACTGCAGAACTAAGGTACTGAGTGACGTAGAAATGAAGTTCGAACTTACAGACCGACTTCTGTTCACAGATCCCAAGGGGTAAGTCCCCTAAATACATAAAACTTACTTTCAGTTGTACAAGAGTAACGCTGAATCAGATATTCTGGTTTATCCACTAAAAGAAATTCGAAAAAGAAAATCCCATATTTTTTGTGGTCTACACTACAAGTTGTGCTAACATTTAATGCTGTTTAACATCGATTCAGTATAACTCTCATGTTACACGAAGGTAATACCAAATTTTATCGACTTTTTACAGAAATGGCTCCTCGTACATAGGACTTGTAAAAAAAATTGTACCATCTCTGACTGGTTCGTGTATCTAAAGGAATCAACCACCATTTCAAAATTATTTAGAAAATGAAGTAGAAAGTAATTTAACAAATAAAGTGTGCACATATTATGAAATTTAATAGAATATAAGTAAAATAACTGTAACACGTTCTAATGCCAGGGAAGAATAAGAAATAAAATAAACCCTCAAAACAGCTGATGCGATCAAAAATCTGGGTTAACAGCCTCCAAAAACAAAAATAGGGGGGAAAACGTATAAATTATCTGGTGGATGTCGCATCGGCCGACCACTGCAAGAGGGTAGTCCCCGAAGAAGCGAAAAGTAATTTGTAAAAATTAGTCGAATGAAATTTTTACCCGATTTAACCCAGACGGAAGCCCGCCCAACAGTTATTTAGAGTCGAAGATATTGGGAATATATTTTATAGTTGCCTGTGAATTCGGTTCCAGACACTGGAGAATGGTCGCGTTCGCAAAGCCCACAGACGCAAGTTGATGACGTACTCGCTGATTGCTTTCTGCAACTTCTGTTTGAATGTTTTCTGATTAAGTACACTGTCAGACGTCTAGTTTTGTACGGATATTATTGGCTGATAGAAAAATTACACGAAGTATTTATTGATGGCTGCAATAAATTCTGAAATATGTGTGTTTACAAATAAAATCGTTTGTCTGTGGAAACATTGGAACACGAATTTTTTAATCAGAATGCTGATTAGCAAAATTTCACGGAGAATTCCAGAAAAACCTACTTCCCTCTCACTTCTAGCCTCGTCAATGCAACACAAATAATACAGTAATAATTTTAATGATGCCATCTGTACACTTACGTCACATCTGATCTGAGACGTACGAAATTTCGAGCTCTTGATTTTTGTTTCACAGAGGTCTAGCGGTTAGAACGCCGGCCTTGTAATCCTGGGGGGTCTCGGGTTCGATTCCCGGCGGTGCCCGAATTTATAACTTGTGTTGGGCAAGGCCGTAGTCTAGGCAACACGGAGTTTTCCTCCGGGGGCTTCCCCGGTTTCTCCGTGGCATCCCAACAATTACTCCATTCACACACAGAAGAAGGCAATGGCAAACCACTTCTGGATCATCTGCCAAGAACGTATATGAACAGGTCCCAGTCCGAGAAAAGGATGGAAGGATCCTGTTCATATGGACCTGTCGTCAGACAGAACACTAAATAAATAAAAATAGTGTGCAGCATTGGAGTTCACTTTTCACTTCCCTGTTTTCCGCGAAAATTGTGTTTATTTTTGTCGTTCGATGTTTTTCAAGAAATGAGGCGATCAGAAGCTATGAAGTTACGA